CGCGAGTTCCTGGATTTTAGACACTTTTTGGGCTTCCACCATTTTATGCAACAAGTCTCTGTACTTTTTTCTGACCAATCTCGATCGGAAGTGGTGCAGCGTATCAGTCTATTCTGGAGGGCCTGCCCCGCGGGCTAGCGACAGGAAACGCCAAACCGTCACTCGTCGTTACGGCTATTTGGTAACGAATTTTTAAAGTGGACAACTTTTCGGGAAGCGGATTTTCCGAATTGGACCCACAAAAAGGTTAAACTGCCAGCAGAGGGGTCTCGCCAGCAATCAAGTTTGGCTGCATAAAGCAGCTTGTTCCACACTTGTCTTCCCGCAAAAGGGCAAATGAGGGAAAGGAACCTGAAAACCCCCGCAAATGGACCGTCGGGAACCTCATGGCAATAATGCGAGTAGCATTCTAGAACCTATTCGGTGGAGCTCATCTTAGTGAACATTTCTGAAGGTAAATCGAGTTCACGTATGAGTGCGATTGTTTCCGGATTTCAGAGTATAGAAGTTCAACTGACCATGGCATGGTTTGCTTTTGTGCTTGCTTGTTCTTCCATTTGCTGAACAGAATACCATTTTCTTTTTATTTGTCCCTTGTTGGTTTGACAGGACACCTATCGCTACGGGACATATGGTTTTCATTTCCAGAGGCAAAGAAAAACACGAATTGGAGCTTGTTTGTGTCCAAAATCAGAGCTCGTTGGTTGCTTCTTGATCAGCCGGATGGCGGGCTGGGTACGTGACGGAAGGAGAGTCTTCATTGCAGGCTCTGGTTGTGTGGACGGACGAAATCCATTTCGCACCACTTTGAACCCATGTCGTTGTTGATATGTACCGGGGAATCGAATCATTTCACGGTTTCTCAAAATGTGCAGGATTTCGCCCATCGACAAGGTTTGTTTGGCGTTGGCTTTTGATACATTTTCTTTGAAAGGGATATGGTTTATATGATGGTTAGGTAGACCCGGCCCAAAAGTTCAGAATGGTCGCCCCCACGACTTCTCTAAAAGGGGAAGATGATCAGTATTGGGGCTCCCCCTATTGTTCCCTACCAAAATTGTCAAAGATGCTTCCGTTTTTCGCAGGAGCGATGGTCATTCCAGGGGTCTTTCTGCTTCTGGGGAATTTGATCAAAGGGGGGTTGATCAAAAGCTTCCTTTCATAGGACGACCGTTGGGGAAAACCACTAAGATGATATTTCCCACATGCGACAAGTTGTCTGTGCTCATTTGGTGGCCGAACGGAATATGGATCAACCCCCCAAAGGTGAAGCCAAAGCGAAACAAACGCCTTCGACGCCTTCACTCGCCTCGCAGGAGGCCTATGCTGAGTTTGCCTGGGCGCTGGTCCGGTTGCCTGGACGGCTCGGTTTGGCCCAAACCGCAGGTACCCTGCTTTCTTTTTTTTGGAAGGTGCCCCGCGCAAATCAACTAACCAGTCTTTGCGGCCGCGAAATCTGTCTGGAGGTGGAATACTGTAGCCGTAGCCCTTCGGGTCACATTCGTGATTCCTCTCTGAAGAAGCTCAGCTAAGGAATGGGCGGAGGTTTCTGAAGCATGAAGCACGCAATATGTACCTCTGCAAGGTCAGAGAAGAACAGTTCCATGGGAGTTCGATCGCCAAAGAAGATGTCGATCCTCGAAATGAAGGTTTGATTTTATTTTTTAATGGGCTGGGTTGGGAAAGTTCACGGGCTGGGAAATAGTCGAGAAGCGTGGGCGAAAGGCAACATGTCAGCAGGCATGTTTCTTGTTGAACATGCTGGTCCTGAACAATTGTTCAAATCCGGCAGTTTGAGATGAGACCGTATCTCAGATCTACCCTGACTCTTGCAAAGCCTAGCCGAGAAACTGTCTAGTGATTGTATATTGTCGTTAGTGGCTGGGCCCCACTTGTGGACATTCCATAAGAATTGAATAAGATAAATATTTATTTTTATTTAAAATTTAAAGAAATATATAAAAGTTATTAATATATAAAATTTAAAGAATTATTCAAAACTTGGTTTATAGAATTATACAAAACATTTTATAGAATTATATAAACAATTTAAATAATTATACAAACAGTTTAGATAATTCTATAAACAATTTAAATCATTATAGAAATGGGTTTGTGTAGTTATTGCATTTGTCTCTTCTTCTTTAAGCACGTGTGAAGTATGATTGCACTCAGTGTTTTCTACGCCTGATCACCCGCTTGATTCATGTAGTTCCTGGAGGGTGTACTTTGGCCCAAGCAAGATGGAGGGCTAGCCGGTACTTGCGCAGCGCTTTGTCTGCGCAAGTTAAAGCGGAGCAGCCGCTGGCCGAGGCGGCCGCTAGAGTCTTTATTCGGCCCATCAGGTCTTCTTGAACCATGCAAGATGTCCATACTGGATTGATCTGATTAGATCTTTGAGCTATGTGCAGTAAGTCATGCCATTTTTTGGTCACTAGAAAAAGTTCTTCGCCTCGTGCCTGGCAGCGTTCTCGCAAGTCCTGGGCAGGCAATGCGTGAGGTTGATTCTTGCCCCAAGGTGCAGCAACCGTGCCCGCCTGATAGAGTCGTAGAAGCTCTTTGGTGGCGCGTAGAAAGTTTTCGTAGACTGGCTGAGGCAAACGAAGATCTTCGGCATGGTCTTGGAGACACTGGTCCATCTGCAGCGATCGTTCGAGACACATTTTCAACTGCAAGTCCTCACGAGAGCTGCCGGCATGGATGCTCCAAAGTTGAAGTAGCGGCTGGGTGCATGCTCGAATGTCTACGGCTCGTCCTTTGAGCTTAGGCGCAAGCTCCTTGCGTTGCCACGAACTTGGCTGGAGGTGCCGGAGGAAACGGCCAGTCTCAGGCCAAGACTTACCTGAGTTTGCCAAGCACGCTTGCAGAGCTGGCCAGCCTTTTCTCCGTAGCAAAAGCTCAAGGGTCGATCCCAGCAGGTATTGGTCCGTCCCTAGGTGCTTCGTGTGCATGAGGTCTGGCTGCACTGCCAGCCCGCTCAGTCCGGGCACTTCTGAGAACAAGGGGCTGCGCTTGGCAGCAAAGCGAGCCTGCCACTCGTCGGCTGTGAACAGACGCGGAAATGGCCGGCAGAGCAGCTTGCTGCGATGCACTCCGCAGAGCTGGCACGGCTCCAGGGAGTTGTGCGCGGGCAGCCCCAGCCAGCTAGGGTGGAAAGCCAAGTCGGCCTGAATGCAAATCAAGATGCCGCAGTGCCCGTCAGCTAGAGGCTGTCCGGCTCGGGGGTCGTGCAGTGGCTGGCCCTTTGAATTCGTGGACGGCCACACTCCAGACTGCAACGCGCGCAGGGACCACGCGAGCCTTCTCCAGAAGGCGGCTGGTGTGTGGCAGGCATTTGCTTTGCTGACAAGGTGTCCCCAGATTAAGGCACTGACGAAATTGCCAAGCTTGGCCGATTTTTTGCCTATCAAGCTCCTCCAACTTACGACCAATAAGCTGCGGGAATGCGCAGTGCCAGTGGCTATCACCGGCACTTCGTCGCCGTGTAAAGCTAGCGGAACACAGAGACTCCGATCCTCGCGTTGCCAGATGGGATGTCCTTGGAGCTGACAAGCATCGGCCATTGTGGCCCAAAAGTCTGCTAGGTCCACGCCGACGGGTGCCAAGGACTGCCACCCCTCTTTGTAGCAGTGATACATTGCGCTGAACATTTCATGAGGCCATAGAACTGACACATCGCAGGGACCGGCAAGAGGGCTGCCTGGGCGACAACGACAACGGCCATGCATATACTCAGCGCGCATGGCCATGCCACGCAAATATTGTCTTCTAGAAAAAAGGGGGGAAGCGGCCGGGGTGCTGGCACTTGCCTTCAGTGGCACCGTCATGATGCTGATTTCAGGCAAGTAGTTGGCACACAGACGCGAGCACAGGTCTCGCCATAAGTTCCCAGGGTCGTCATGAGATCCGAGACTGGCGAGAACTTGCAGGTCCCAGGGCGCGGCCCCATCAACAAAATCGGCGCAGGCAGCTTGCCTTAGTGACCGGGAACTCACGCAAACATGTGGACATGCGCAGCAGGAGTCATATGAAGCACATGATATTCATTCTGGCCACGATATGGCTTGTACTTGCGCCACTGACAGAAGACCCCAGCCAAGTTGTTCCAACAAATGCAGCACCAGTTTGCTCTGCGGAGTCGGCGCAAGGTCGCGGCGGGCTTTGCGCTTCCGACCCATGATGGCGTTGCGCTCTCGCTTGAACTTGAGCACAAAGACTAGAATCTTGACAAGCCTGCAGACACTTCCCGCAAGTTGCGGACGCACGTGCCGAAATAGACGGACCGCACACTTTTTTTGCCCTAGAGCTGAGCGTCAAGTAGCAGGCTAGGCCGTCTACACCCCGGACTTTCTGCCCATCCAGAAAGCAGTCAAAAGGCGCCCGTGTGGGCTCATAAGCGAGACTTGCCAAAATATGCTCACAGCAGCGCCTTAGCAAGTTTCAAGTGCTCCAGCAAGCTCTTCAGGGCCTGCGCGACTTCCTGGAGCTTGGTACTGACGCTGGCTTCTGTTAGCGTGCTCCCATCTGCCATGCGCCGACAGGACCGGATAGCGCTCAAGGCGGCGTGGCCTTGCTGCAAGGCCATGTACTCTTCTGCGAGGGAGTCGCGCACGGTGAGCACGATGTTGGAAGGATCAGGCTTGGTCGTGAGCTTCGTCAGGACGCCGCCCACCTCGAGGAGACCGCGACTGCTCGCTTCGTACGCGGCGTCAAGCTTGGCCAGGATTGCTGGAGGCAGCGAGAAAGACCCTGTCGAACTGCCGCCCGATCCAGGGAGCATGGTCAAAGCCAGGGGTGCGGCAAGGCCGCCGACGGGCGCAGCTGGCGAATGCGAGTCTGCGGCCCAAGCCTGAGCGAGCACACACAGATCCGGCTAGCTTGCATTAAGCGCCAAAGCCCTCTCACACAACACTCAAAACTATGAAAAGGCTGGTCGAAGGACTTGCAGAGGCAGGCCAACAAGACTATATTCAGCCCAGTCTCGAAGCTCATGGCATCAAGGGCATCGGTGAACTCACTGCGAGCGGCGGCGGCATCTTCGCCGTCCATGCTGAGACTGCTACTCAGGTGTGCGCCCAGCTGGATGTCGTGGTGGTCCTCACAGACCTCCTCGGACCACTGGTAGAGAGCCTTGCCGGTTTTGCTTTTCACCTCGCGGATCTCGCCTGCGTGGAGAGCTGCTTTGAAAGCGTCTTCGCCGCCAGCAAGGACCACAGCCCGAAAGCGAGGGTAGCCTCGAGCCTCCGCACCTTCCCTACTTGTGCGAGTGGAAGTGTGCTGCGTGGACAGTGTGCTCTCGTCACAGCGCACGCGCCACTTGCCGGACTTGGGGCTCTTGGTCATAGCGGAGTTGAGCCACTTGGTCGCAGCGGAACGCCCCTCCTCTTGCTTGCGCGCCCACTGTTCCTGAACCGCAGCAGGCAGACTCGGGAAAAGGCTGCGGAAGGCCATGGCCGCCGCTTTGTTGCGTTTCTCGGGCTCGGAGGACGGCTGCTTGCTGTCCGTGGGCTCCGCCTGCTTGGCGTCAGCTGCAAGCATGGTCTCCAAGTTCTCCAGCTGGGTCTGGGCATTCTTGGACGGCTTGCCTTTGGCTTTGGGACGTGCTACTGAAGGGCTGGGGGGCTCGATCTTAATGGCCGGGCCAGGCTCCTTGGCGTCCGTCAAGTCCTCAGCAGGCTGCGGAGCGGAAGGTGCGGACTTCTTCCGCTTAGGCTCTGGAGCCGCCTCCGCGGGCTGTCCCTTAGCCTTAGCTTTGGCGGCCTGCTTGGCTTTTGCTTTGGCAGCCAGCTTGGCTTTGGCGGCAGGCTTGGCTTTGGCGGCCTGTTTGGCTTTTGCCTTGGTCTTTGCCTTGGGGGTGGCTTTAGCCTTAGGCGCGGAGGGCTCTGCTAGCGCAGAGCTGGCAGGCGCGGCCTCTGCCTAGCGCACGCAAAAAGTGTGGAAACTCTCAGAACTCTAACCGCTCAAAAGCTCTCCAAACTCAAGACTCTCAAAATTAACTTTCTCAAATGTGCAAGATCGCTTACTCGCAGAACTCTCAAGACTCTCAAAGTTAATTTTCTCGACTGTGCGAGATCGCTTACTCGCAGAACTCTCAAAGCTCTCTAAGCTCTCTTAACTCTCAGAACTCTCGAAACCTGCAAAAACTTAAACGTGAGGAATCGCACGACTTTTAGAACTCCTTAGCCTCAGTTCCGGCAAGCGCAGCTGGCAAAGGGCACGAAGGTCTGGTCTCTGCCTAGCGCAAGCAGAAAGCGCGATCCTTGCTTAGAGGGCTCAAAAGCTCTCTAAGCTCTCCAAACCCTCAGAACTCTCAGAACTCTCAGAACAAAGCACGCATAACTCCCGG